GTGCACAATGACACTCTGTTACGCTCAAATATACTGGGTCAGGGAAAGGACAGGAGGTCAGACTTCGTGAACTGACACACCTTTGTTGTTCGTCAGGGACGTGAAGTTGAGACCCAGAGCTCTGTAATTTTATTCCTTTACTGCTTAATAAACTACATTAACTGAGACCGAATATCTTCTCCTATTACTTCATTAAAGAACACGCAGGACTGAGCTCACACATAGCACATTAGAGAGTAGGATGAGACTCTTAGTCCAACAGACCCCTGGGCAGTGTGAATCTGAATAAGATAATATAATCAGCTTTTCTTGTGAGAAACCACAGTTTGAGAGTCATACTCCTAGTTCTTACCCAGCAGGTCGGTGATGGCTGTGTAGATGTCAGTCATGTGGTGGGGCAGCAGTGGAGGTCTGTCTGTGTGGCTGTAGTGTTTAACCAGGGTCCTGTACAGCAGTATCTTACACTGGGCCAAACCACTGTTGGAGAGACCAGGCTGCTCATCACTGTTGTTGTCTGGGGTAGACACAGACAGCCAGAAATACAGAAACGGACAATTATATTGTTATATTGATAACAATGGCAGCTGCATGCTTTTAACACAAACCTGACACAATATCTAACCGTAAGTAAAGCTTCTTTATAGATGGCATGAGTAGACAGTGTAAAGGCATATACATGTTGTATTTTAAAAGTGAGGAACCAAACATAATTGGGTAGTGGCACTAGCCTTTGCCAAATACCAGATACTGCCTTGTTCTTGAGCAGTGGTGTTCCCAAGGGGTGGCCAGGGGGGCCATGGACAGTTCAACCTACTTAATTTTCAGTCTGAACCGCCGCCTCTGTCCCGCTCTGATGGTTCCAGTGGTCACTCCTTCTCTGTGATGTGTGGCTCAGAGAGTTTTTGGATGTTTGGGGCCATGGCCACCCTGGTAAAATTGCTGTGCCCCCCATGGCGGAAAATAAATGGAGGCTGACATTTCTGTCTTTAAGAGGCTGTGACACGCTTGATTTTTGAGGTAGCTAGACAACCTAAGGCATCTGTTGGTACCAACCATGTCAGCATAGCTTGTTAGGGGGCTAAGTAACGCTCCAAATTAGGCTAAATTTTGGCGATTGAACAACTGGCATGGCCATTTTCAAAGGCATCCCTTGAACTCTCGCAATGAAAATGGGTTGTATGGGAACCAACGAGTCTCCCCTAAACTTGAGCAGGCTTGTTCCCACTAAATAAAGCTGTATATTTGTCTTTCCAAGAGAAAAGACAACCACACTATCTGAAGTGCAATGAATCGCCTAACATGTATAGATAACATATTAAAACAGGGTTATCGTGGTACTCAAAATGTTAACTGTACTGGTATTCCTCTATGCACATCATATAATTCATAACATTAACTGTAAAACAAGAAGCCAAAGTACAGCAGTATGAGATTTCTTAACTCTCCAAATAGTTTTCAACTAGCCTACGTCATAATTAAATTCCAGAAATACAGTTATGGATTCAGGTTTTGGTGTGCCACCCCAAGATTTCAGTGGCCCCATCTGGCCACTTCTGTGAACATTTTCATCCAAGCACTTGCCTCCATCTTGTGACCTGCCACCAGCTGGCACTTGCTGACAGCTGTCCTGATCTTGTGGGAAAGGCAGCTCCCTGCTCAGTGCCACCACTGGCTGATCAGGGAGGAAGTCCAGACAGTCCAGAGCTGCACAGAGCCACGCATCCTCCCTGAGGTATAAGGAGAAATACAAGACAATTTTCAGTCCATTAAAGTAAAGACATTATATGGTAATATACACTGTATATTTGGGAAATTTAGATTTGAGAAGACTGATACCACTCTCATGTCTATAGAAATGAAGATATTATAGGCTGCCAGTTAGTTTTGCTTAGCAAAAAGACTGGAATGTCTGGTTCTTTGCTAGTAGATATTGAGTAAGAAACAAATTATTTTTAAAACATACTGAGAGTCCCTGAAGGCCTTGAGGATCTTCCTGTCCAGGTGGTTGCTGCTGTATATCAGGTCTGGGTTACTGTGAGCCAGTGGGTTTAATGGAGGAGGAGAGGATGGGGTCTGACTGCACTGAAGGACCCCTTCCAGCAGGGGGAGCTCCACCAGGTTTAACAGCCTGAGCAGAGTCTGCTCCTGCCATACCTCATCTACCACTGGGGAGGGGAGAAAGACAAAGCAAAAAAATTACACTAAACTGTTGTATCGTTTTCTATTTCAGGGGAAACAAAGGCTTTTTTTTAAGATAAAACTAGACTGACCATCCTACAGTTGTATGCTTCTGTGTACCAATCAAGTTTCTCAGTTTATATCCATGTCTGTGGATACTTCACACACATCTTCCCACCCCCCACCCCCCCACAGCACAAAAGATCTACACAATCAGCATAGTTTCAATGTGAACATCCATGATAAGTGTCACCAAGTCAGTATCTGACCAAATGTCTCCCCTTCTGTTCCTGAGTTATGACGTTGAGTAACGGCCAGAAAAGTGTTTTATGCAGAACATTATAATGTCACAGTGAAGCTGACGTGTAGGATATAAAATATCATCACTTCATTATTTCATCCTATTAGACATTTGTGTGAAGTTTTGTCATAATAAGTGTATAAATTCTTGAGATATGGCCAAAAATGTGCTTTGTGAGGTCACATTGACCTTGACCTTTGACCTTCAACCACCAAATTCTGATCAGTTTATTCTTCAGTCTAAGTGGACTTTTGGGGCAAATTTGAAAAAATTCCCTTATGGTGTTCTTGAGGATACTTTGTTCACAAGAATGAGACAGATGCAAGGTCACAGTTACCTTGTCCTTTGACCACCAACATATAATCATTTCATTGTTAAGTCAAGTGAACATTTGTGCCAAATTGAAGAAATTCCCCAATGAGGTTCTTGCGAAACCACGTTCATGAGAATGAGATGAATGCAAGGTCATGGTGATCTTGATCTCTGACCCTTGACCACCAAATTCTGATCAGTTCATCCTTGAGTCCAAGTGACATTTGTGCCAAATTTGAAGAAGAAATCCATCAAGGCGTTCTCTTTATTGCATTCATGAGAATGAGACACAAGAGGTCACAGTGACCTTGACCTTTGACCACAAAAAAACGAAACATAGTTCAGTCCAAGTGGACATTTGTGCCAGACTTTACGAATTCCCTCTAGGCATTCTTGAGATACCGCATTCACAAGAATGGGACGGATGGACAACCCCAAAACATCATGATTCCAACCATGGATATCGCCGGCTCGTTTGTTACTTGTTCACGACCCCATTGCCCTGAAAAAGACACATTCTGTATAAACAAAAGTAGGCAGGCGGCTTTCCTGCAAATTTGCGCAATTCCTGTTTAAAAAGGGCTAATGAGGAAAAGAGTAATGTCTGGGAAATGATGAGAATAAATAGTAAGGTCATGTGGGAAGCACTTTCCCAGAGTAAAATGATGCAAAGGAAAAATAAAATATTAAATGTCATTTGCTGTCAAAAACTTTTTGTATTAAGATGACTGTCAATCAATAAGGCTCCATTTTTAAAGTGACTGGCACTCATCACCAAAACTAAATAATGACGTGTATTTTGGTCGAACTCAGATCTGCCACTTAAAATTCAAAGACAATCGAAATACAACCCCAACGGTAACCTAATAGACCTTTTCAACAGCAGATACTTTTAACTTGTCACTGTAAGAAAAACACAGATGAAATTGCGAATATAAAAAATGGCACAGTTCAATTAAGAGTCCCAGTAAGCTGTTCCAGTTAGCCAGCAAGCACAATAGCAGGGCCTCCATCACTAATGTTATTAAATACATCTGGGTCTCTGTCAAAGTGTCCACCACTAAAATGGCCTGTTTAAAGGAGTTTAGTCATTTCTTTCTTTTTTTCTCTGTGGCGCACTGACGTCCTACTCAGTGTTTTCTCACCTCTCATCCAGTGCATGCTGGGAGAGGCTACAATCCCTGTGACCACGAGTAAATGTGTAACATAAAGAGAGAATTAAATTATGCTTTAACAGTGTTAAAGTGGCACAACAGGATAAAATACACAAATGCTGACATTAGTGTCTTACGTGATTGCGGTAAAACAGTGTGAGTCTGCATTCTGCTGGGACTCACACTGCTCACCAGAGGCTCCAGTGACAGACTGGCAGCGGCAGGAGTGTCCAGTTGGTTGGATTCTATGCTTGTCTGAGTACATCTGACAGGGCTGGACGTCTGAACATGTGAGCCAGTGGGACACGTCTGCTCCTCCTGCCTGGAATGTAAAACAGAGACAGCTGAGAGCTCACACTGGTGACGTGTCAAAAGCCTTTTGTGGATTCTAGTGCGGGTTAGGTGATATGATGACACCTACTCAGAGATGATTTGAAGACTACTTGAAGAGATTGTGTTACATCATTTATACAGTGATAGCTCTCCCTTTAATATCCGTGCTTGTATTAAACCATTGTGTTAATAAATAGGACTGGAGCACAGGGTTTGTGCATCAGTGTGATGAAGTACTTTGACTTGTCAGGTATTCCATTCACTTGAAAACGGAAACATTCCTATCTTGAAATTTTATTTTTAAAGGGGAAATCCACTGATTTTACACATCAAAGTGTGTTTACAGGTCTTGGGGAGCATTACTCCATAACTGAAAAAGTTGTATAAAAAAGACAACATTCACAACCTTTGTTACCATTAGATGAGTGCATAAAAAGCAATAATAAACAAAGAATTTGTGAATTCAGGATGATATTTATTTGTGTGTGCAAATTTTAATTTTCAGAGGTTTACTGTGTATATAACATACTTGGTACATCAGTCTATATTTGATATCCCATCTGTTTTCTAATGTTAAATAATGTTAAAAGGTGGTTTAACTCCCTCTTGTGGTCATTGTCCTGAAGCTCAGGGGGGAGAAAAATAAATAAACTGTGTACTGTGGGTACAGTTTTGCAAAACTGCGCACAGTTTACTTATCTGTCCACATGGATGTAAATTGACAATCTGTACACACAGTTTAAAATCCGTCCCCACGGATTGTAAAACCGTGCATACAGTTTAATTTTCTCTCACCGGAACCTAGGGGGGCTCCGTAGAAAAAGTCGCTTGTTTTGGGCTTGTTTTCACAGGCCTGGTTGCTTATTTGTCTCACGAGATCTGGCAACACTGGCTGCTGGCTCTGCTGGCTACATTAGTCATACGATCAGGCTGAGTTGCATTGCTGGTAATGTGGATGCCAGGTTTGACAAGGAGGAAGGTGCAATGCTAAACTTAAATGTTTTATCAATAGACTTTCCAGAAAATGTACTATATCATGGCATGCCACTATACACAGCATTTTATGATATAAAATGCTGTGTACCATGATAGAATTTACTCATATTCCCCAAAGTTCCAGCTAAGGTGGGTGATGCATAATACTATTAACATTAAATGTCAAACCTAACCAGTCATCTGCTTCAAACTGAGCTCATAATTGTCAGTATATATGAAAGAGATTCTTAGAAGTCATTTTAAACGGGGCCCCAGACTATATGTTTAACAACATAACACAAAACATATAGTATTTACATAATGTCACACTGGTCTGGGATAACCTCACTTTGCCAGTACACCCATCTTAACATGCCTCAAAGGACAGTTCACTCCAAAATCAAAAATACATCTTTTTCTTTCCTGTTACCTGTAGTGCTGTTTATCAGTCTCGATTGCTTTGGTGTGAGTTGCTGAGTGTTTGAGATATCAGTCATAGAGCTGTCTGCCTTCTCTCCAGTATAATTAATAAATGACATGACAGGTAAGAGGTAAAATATGTATTTTTGATTTTGGGGCGAACTGTTCCTTTAAGTAACAGTTGCACATAATACCCCTGGCCTTAACTTGTGAATGTATTCCTCCTCTCTATTCAACCCTGTCTCACTATAAATACATCAAAACAGGAGGAAATACATCTCTGAAACTGACAGATACAATAATGTCATTTCACTGCCACACCACCTTGTGAAGGATGTGTCATACAACTTACTGGTCTGCATTATATAGTATATGTTTTTAATGTGGGTGTGACAAATAAATTGGTAACTTTGTGTGTGTAATGTATGCTATTCAAATTGAATGACTGAGACTTAGTACCTGTCTGAAGGAGCACTGCAGAACAGTGTTTGGATCCCTTTCACAAGCACACCTCTTTCTAACTTGTCAACTGAGGGAAAACTCTCACCCACAAACCTGTGTGTAAAAAAGGCACCATGTTGGACATTTTGATCATCAAAAAAAAACTTTATGTGTATGTGTGGTTGAGTATAACCTGTAGAGAGCACTCTTGCTGTCTTGAAACAGATCCTGCTTTTTGTCTTTGCCAAACACTTTGGTGCCCACTGCCTCAAACACATTACAGTCCAACAGAGCCTGGCACACACACACCACTTTGTCCCGTGACACATCTGCACCTTAAATTTCAACCAAGCAGAGAGAGGAAAGTGGCAGTTCATTTACATTCTTTTGGTTCATAAATATAATGAAAAACAGCTTGGGCCAAATGGAGCCCTCAACTGGAAAATCCACCAAATTATTGATTTATGCTACCATGTGTACAATCCAATGCCCCACACATACACACCTTCAAAAACACAGCTAATGTGTTCTGCCACCACATCAACAGCCTCTGAGCCGAGGAAACAGTCGCCATGAGACTTGAGGTGGACTCGTCGACGCTTCACTGTCACAGAGGACCTGAGGTGGGAGATGAGGCCACTCCACATGGAGGAAGACTGGACTGGTTTACTGGTCACTCCATGAGCTAAGACAGGGCACAGAGAAAATCAAAGGGAATCAAACTGACCTGTGCAGGGTTAGAGCACAGATAAATGGATAGGAAGGTGGATAAGACAATCTAAGACATGACAATGCATGGAAAAGAGGAAAGGCTAGTGGAGAAATATGAAGGACCTGACTGAAGAAAACTGTCAAACTAACTGAAGTCAGCAGCAGTAAATTGTGGGTCGATTGTTTGTCAGTGAGGATTTAACACATCAACTTTTTAGTACGTTTAGATCATCATAGTTGGCCAGCCTGAGAAAAACCCAGACACATGGTCAGGCCTCCATGAGCTGCAGAAGTTGATACACCTCGTTGAAATGCTTGCTTGATTAACTCACCTTGAGGGCGCACACATAATTTTTCTGCAAGGTGTAACGCCGCAGCTCTTTCTTTAATCGACGCCATGTCTACCAAAGCAGCTGAGGAAGCACCTCTTCAGTTGATAACACGCTAGGTGTTTGGACAAGCAGGAGAAAGCAACCGGTGACACAAAGCAGGTCCAAGCTCCTTCACTATATGTGCAGTTTAATATTCAACCGCTAGATGGCAGCAGAGTATAAGTCACCTCTGACACAGCAGTCAAACTGCTGCTTGGTCTTTATATAGGCTTACTACTGTGTGTACAAAACGCTAAAGCAGATACTTAGAATACAGAATATACACGAATGGGAGATGGCCGGAGACAGTTAGGGATGTGAGCACAAATGAAGTCTAATTATATCGTGTAAATGACCCACAGAGATGATTGAAAATGGTGGTAAAGCTCTGTGCTGGGGCTGCACAGTGCGAGAAAAAGGACACAACTATAAAAATGTGAAAAGCACTGTTGTCATGAAAGCTGCCCCTTTTTTGCCTGATAATTTGATTTATTTATATCTTTATTGGGCGCTGATTATTTCAACCTCTTATTTTGTATTTTTGAACAATGTTCAGTGTCCTGTCTGCCAACAGCACCCTCACAGGTCCACTCAGCGGCAGCCATCATTTCGTTAGCCCGGAGGCAGAGGGCGCTGTTGGAAACCGCTGCGGCTAGCTTTCCAGCTTGTTGGGCTAACTGTCAAAGGTAATGTAGCACTATCAACAAACAACAATTTTACCTGACTAATTCACTTATAACAACTAACATTTTAATTCCTAGAAACACAAACATATTTTTAAACAATATACCTTTCAAGAATAACGGACAAATTACCTCAGTTTTTGCTTTTTTCTAAGCAAAGTATAGGCTCATGCTAGCTAACATTTTGTTGAGGTTAGCTAATGTTAGCATTCTGTTAGCTTTTGGTTGAGGCTTAAGTTTTGGCTTCAAGTCTGTTACAATAGGAACATGTATTCTAATTAAAGTGTCGTTGATTTCAGTTATAGTTTATTTAATTAAACATTAAGTCAAAGTGAAAAGTCTAACACTATATCAAATGTATTTGTAATAAAATTAGCTAAATCTGCTAATTGGCACTATGAAACAACACTTTTCAGGGACCCCTAACTACATATATATTGGATAAACTGAGATGCACTTGAGATGACTCTCTTAATATTTTAGGTTTCAATATTTTTAAGTTTGGACTTGCTTGTGGCTGGTAATTCAGCAGCATCTGAAGCATGGCTACATGCTGTTAGCTTCACCCTCTGCACTGTCACAAGTACTTGGAATAACAATATAGCCAACTGGCGATATGATTCAGTAGTACATAACTGTTCACTAGTTGACCTAGTCATCACGGATAGGTGATATCAAGCTCACATGATTGCACGAGCAGTTATGAGTAACAGTTAGGCTATCATCAATGTTGTGTACTGTAATTTTTTTAAAAGTTAAAAAAAAAAAGTTTCACAACATCCACTGCAGTAAATCTGAGGTCTCTAGGGGTCACAGACCCCCTGTTGAAGACCCAGGATCTAAAGAGTAACCTCAGACAGTTTCACTGTCTCACTGATAAAGGAGTCAAAGATGCAGCATGATGAATTTCAATGAACAATGGATTTCTCAAACACTGATAAAATAATATGACAGCTTACGATTACATTTCCAAATATTTGCCTCAAATTTCAAAAGCCATACTTCCTTTAAAAGAAAAAGTTAGCATGTAAAAATAGCTTTCTGATTTACTTTTAGTTGCAATATGGTCAGGGAATGGAGCAGTATTAGTGTAGTCTTCATTGATAAATTGTCAAAAGCCTATTTTTATTTTTTTTATTAAGACTCAATTGTGCTGCATGATAGGCCTTTTTCACAGTAGACATTTTACTTGTCTTTAATGGAAAAAGTGAAGGTGTTGCTAATAACATTAAGGTACAAGTGTACCAGTAAGCCATGACAGTGTGACAGGGAGACAGCATGCACAATACCAGGACACTGAAATTGAAGCAGCTAAATGAAACTCAGCCATCTTTCATTTTATTTTTTCACACCAGTGCTTTCTCTACCGTGACATAATAAAATGTCTTAAGTAAAAAAGGCCTATTGTAAAACCCTTTACATTAGTATTGCAGTAGTTCAGTTACTGTATTGCTTTTAGCTGCAATGTAAATACTTATATTGCCGACACAGGGCTGTGGTTCAACTTTATTTTCCTTAGTGTATTACAGAACAGTAACTAACATAACTCACCCAAAGATAATACAGACATCATGTTGCTTGATAGAAATGTTCCCATTTAATGGATGGCAGATGGTGGTTAATACCTGCTCAACTGAATCACAGGAGAAGCAAATAAAGGCATTGTGGTCGACTCCCTCACTCCCAGTCACATACACATTCACAGTGTGCACACAAGACACGTACGCTATCACTTTGACACACTAACACACGTTCGCAAATCCCCTCCCTCCTCAGCCTGGGGTCACACTGTCATTTTATGATAGTAGCCAATTCTAGCAGGGATCATTTAATTCTCCAACGTGATTGATACCAGCACAGGTTAAATGGGAGAAAAAAGGTCTGTTCTATTAAGGGATCAGTGGCTAGTGGAGACCTCCCACTTAAATAGTCATATTTTCCCATAAGTGTGTTTGCGTGTATGCAGTGTGTGTGTCACTCAGTTTCTTGGTTATGTTGAGGGGACAGAGACAGTTGCAGAGGACCATCTGTGGGTCAAATTAAATAACCTAGATAATTTAAAAAGCATTGACAGCACAATTTGTCCATTCAGTGTTATTGCTCTGACCCCTATTAGTGTCAATGGGCTGGTTCATTTGAACCTAGATGGCTTATCAAGGTGTTATCCTCTCACTGCAATGGGAGTGGTGTAAAACAAAGAAAGAAAAAACCCTAATGGTCATTTCAAAGCCATTAGGTTAGATTGTAGTGATTGAGAAACATTATGAGGCTTTAATGTGCTAGCCTATTATTTCTAATAAAATCATTTAGCAGTAAAAATTGCAGATGAGGAAGTAATTATGAGCATATGAGTGGAAAAGCAGAGTGTGACTGCTTATTAAACAGCCAATTCTATTAACCTTTTTTTTCTTGATTAACAGGCAGCAGAGGCCCAGTGGGCTCTTGGCCTGCCCTGAAACAACTCGATGGATCTCAGCGCTGACTGCGGGACACTCCCCACCCACACCACTGTAAGTTAATACTCCTGACAGTAGAGGACAAAGCGAAGAATATTCATCAGCTTTTTGAACTGGTCTCTGTTTTGTTCTCAGAAACAAAACATGGAATAATTTTTGTATGTTTCCTGACATTGTTTTATTAAAGCTGTAAGATACCTGTAGTAACAATACTGCCAAACTCATTTAAGATGTTAAACTCTTTGCTTACTACCAATAAAAAAGGCCTCATCATACAGCCTGATTTTGTAACTAAAAATTGCCAAAATAGGTGTTAAGTGTTTGAATAGCTTGATCAGAAACATTCATTTTTTTGTTTGTAGGTAGAAGGATCTGTGTTGGAGCAGGAGCTGTCTCTGTCCGGCGCTCTCTGTCAAACAGAAAGTGGAGGCACCATCTTACTACAGTTGTTGGAATTTAAAACCCATCTGCTCGAGGCTGTAGAGGAGCTGCATATTCGGAGGGTAAAGTAGCAATTGTAACATTTGCCGTCATTGTGTTGCTTATTATATCGATGCAGTACTGGGAAAAAAAACAGTGGTCAGTGTTTCTGATGTGTGTGCATAATGTCAGAGCCAGCAGGTGTCTGGTTTCCGGATTCCCAACCCTTGTAGCTTGTAGTCCCTTGAAACAATGCAGTGTAAATGTGTGTCCCATCATCACTTTTTGCGTGTTTCCACTGGTTGTGACGAGTTCACCAAAAACAGATTTCCCCTTCTTTTATTGTAATATTAGAATCTGATTTAACTAATGTTTTTTTTTTTTAAAAAAACATACAGTGGTAAAATGTACTGGTAATTCACAAGAGAAAAGCTACATTTAGAGTAATCTATGAATAAATACATTTATTTTTTGTAGCAGGAATATGTTTTCTAATGTTTTCTTTGCGTTCTGATCCTGTTAATAATCTTGCAGCTGCTAAAATTTATCTTGCTACCCCTTGTCAAAGTTCTGACCTCAGGTTGGAATCCACTGACGTAAAGAATTAAATGTACTGTATATTTGCTTGTATTGTTCATGCAGTCACTGAAACTGAGCTATACAGAAGGTCCACTTCAGGGTGCTGAGTAGCTCACCTGGTAGAGTGGGCACCCCATGTATAACGGCCCGTTGCTGCATATCATCCTCTCTGTCTTGCCCCCTTCACACTAACACTGTCCTATCAAATAAAGACTAAAAAACTCCTAAAACAATCTTGAAAAAGAAAAATAGAAGGTCCACTGTAACATCATATAGGATTTAAGTGGAATCCAGTTATCTTTTCTTATTTCTTATTTTTTTGCTTATAAATATATGTTTTTTTAATTTCATGTTAATCCAACTCTTCTAATCTCAAGTTGTAAGTTATTTCTTGACAATTGAAAAGCTGAATTTTCACACTGAAAGGATGTAAATAGAAACCAAATCTTACTGTAACGTTTTAGGTTTGTTGAACTACTTTTCTCAAGTTTTGTTAACTCAGTTTTAAATTTCCCAAACTCATAAGATGTCTTTGAACTAATTATTCACACATTCACATTTGAAGGCAGCAGGGGAGCTTACGTTTAGAAGTTTAACCACCTTAAAATGATTTACAGAGTAGCTCTACAAGAAATGTCAAAATTTGTGTTTTATTTCCAGCATTGCTTACTTCCTGTGTGTTTCTGCGTCATATCACTATTACTGAGTAGAACTTCGACACTAATGGCTCTCTGTTTGGCTAAAGAGCAGTGTCATTTCATAGAAGTAGTCAGGGAGTTGATATTATAAGTGTGCTGGAGGAAGCCAGCTGCCCCTTTGGGCCATCTGGATAAGAGCCAGCTCAGTTTGAGGCACATTGCGCCGCGATGGGGGTCACATAAGCCATTTGACCCCTGACCAATAAGTAGAAAGTAAATTTGTTTGTAAAAGTAACAAAATTAGATAATAATGCTGTGTACCCTCCAGCAAGTACTTCCAATCTGACAACACATTTTGAGTGTGCTTAAAGGTTAGAGGAGCAAAAATGGGATGTTGCTAAT